AATGGAAAAACTCCCTCACGCATTTATCCTTCGGGGTAGGCGCGCAAAAAGGAGGTGTGACAATCTTCTATTGAAATTGTCATGTAACAAAAATAACATTTGAAATAGATCACAAAATAAATCTCAATGAATATAAAATACATGTCTTTTATATCTCATTAATTAATCACTTAATTGCGGTTAAATGATAGTATGTTTTACCATATTATTATTAGCTGTAAGATTAAATTACTTAATAATTAAGTATTTAACCCCAGTGCTACAACAACTCTTACAATGTTGTGGCTTGTATTGTTTCTATGTAATTGGATTATACCTCACCATTATTTACCGAATCAAGCACATTTATTTATGGATATATAGTTCAATTCTTGAAAGTTAAATCGCATCAGACAAGATTTAACCGTATTTGCTTATTGATATGGAGTTGGAGAATCTATTGAATAATAGTGGAGATTTTACTAAAAAAAAGGTTAACTCAGTGTATTAAGCTTCCACTACGTGCGAGGTCCGGAACAAGATCATATCACAAGGGTATTTTTTTTTTGGTTTTTCATTCGGTGTCCGGTACCCACACTGGGGCCCGATTAAATCCTGATTCGCGCCGGGAAGCCCCACATTGAGGGTAAAATGCTCCTTAACAAAGGCGACTCCATGCCCAGGGGCTAGAACCCGAGACCTCTGGTTAAAGATGAAGGAGTACTTACCACTCTTCTACAACCCTTGTTGGTGATCACAAGGGTTAATTGTACGCAACCTTACCTTGTATTTTTGTAAGAGACTATTTCTATGGCTTAAACTCGTAACCTCCTAGTCACGTGACAGTAACTTTACCGGTTACGCCAAGAATTTTTTCGATATCAGAAGATTTTACTACTGGATCTAGTCCCAACCCTTCGGGAGAAGCAATGTCAGGGGAATACTCATTGATAAGACTATTCATGTAGCATGTAGTATGGCAAAAATACCCGTGCAAAACTACAAAAAGAAAATAGAAAGTAGAACTAAAGCACACAGATTTCCCTTTTGCTTAAGCATTCCAGCTGGTTCAATTAGTTTAATATTTTATAAAGTCGGCGTTCAATTACTATTATTTATATACATAGTAAAAAAGTAGCTATATATTTTCACATGAACACAGAGGATATGACATAACCCCATATTCACAGAAGCAAAAAATATAATGGAGTTCAACAAAGAAAATGACATTGAAAAGCAACAAGAATCTCAAGATGAAGGTCGTGAAGATGAACTCAAGATGAACTATTTTCATTCCTTACACAATGTGAGAGAATCCAATAGCAGGAATACCACAAGAGTAAGTAGCACCTAATATTGTTTTCTCTATATTTATGATTGACGATATTATACTTTTTTTCATCATATCCAACGACTGGTAATTAATATTATCAGAATTGAAAATATTGCATACAAAGGGCTCGAGTGTTATTTATTTGTATATTTGTTTTTATATTGTTGTCATGTGTCTGCTGCGATGTAATTCAGATAAAGCAAGTTCTTTTGGTGCACATAACATCTGAGCGAGGGTAAGAAGGGATTTTCAAAATGGGCCCCCTAAAATTGACACAAACTTTCATTATGATACCGCAATTAATTCTTGTTCCTATTTGAGACTCTTTAACACCCAAAGAATATGTAATTCTTAAACACAAAACGCTGATAAAACAGACTGATATGCCACAGGAGTGATTCTCACTTTTATTTAGGGGATAGCTAAAAAAGGAATTTCTCTGTAACACCATCTTCTTGTGTTAGTGCTACTTATTCTTTTCTACCTCTTTTCTTCTCTCTTCCTTTTCTTTCTTTTTCTTCCCATCTTTTCTGACCCTAGGTTTATTGAAAACCTCCTATTTTTACTAAATAAGCATAACGTTTGCCTATACACTATCATTCTCAGTGCAAAGTATTTGAATTTTTTTCTCTTTTTTGAAGTTTGAACCCTGAAAAATTTGTGACTTTCCCACTAAACCCGTGCAAATATAATTGGTTTGTTGTTGTAGTACCATGTTCTTGTTCAGTTTCTCCTACCATACTCTCGTGTCACCATTCTCTCTCTACACACAATACAGAGCAACACGAACTGCCGCAGCATCACCGCGGGGCTTGGTGTCGCTCATTCCCTGTGCCACCACATAGCCCCAAAAAACCTATTTCAGAATTATGCTCATCACTGTTTTCGCCCCTTTCACAGATGAGTTCTACAGTTGAAATTTTGAAGAGGATAGTGGGTTGATCTTACCTCATATGACGTATCTACTTTTATTATTCTTGAGAAAACAAAAGAAGGTTAGAGGGGGCCGATATAATCTTTAGAAAAATTGGGGATTATTTACTATGTTCATTGACTTGCTTAACTCTTTGTATTTATTTATCATTGTCTATGCTATGGTGGTCCTACAAATTAGCTAATTCTCGTACCTATAAATGACATTAGTTGAGTTCTTTGATTCTAGTTACCGCACCAAAATGCAATTGCAGCTTCTCCTAAAATAGTATTGCCGGGATAAATATATATAATTCTGAATCTAAAGTTCCTAACAGTAGAACCTTTTGCAAACCTTGATAACTCCATTTTTTACGTGATATTTAGCTCCCGTTTGGCCATAGATTTTGGCTTCATTTTTTTAAAAAAATTCTGAGAACATTATCTGTTTATGAATATGATCATGTTTTGAGAAAAAAAATTTCAAGTTCCCAAAAACTGGTTTAGGGCAGTTTTTGGGTGAAATCTTTTCTTCCACTCACAATATTTCAAATTTTTTTCAAATAAAATGCATGTCCAAACACAACTAACTTACAAAAATTATTTTTCAACACAATTTCAAAAACTCTTTATTTTAAGTTTCAACCAAATCTATGTCCAAACGCTGAGTTAGACGTTCTCTTTTGTGTTGCTAGCGGAAGCTATTTGGGCTTGTGAGTGTAAGCAATTTGAATGGCTTTAGACTTTTATTGAGTTGAAGGTTGATGTTAACAGAAGTAATGCTTCCTCCCCTTTAAGGACATATATAGAATAGATCTGCAAGCCTTCAACTATCTCAAGCACATGATAGTTCACGGTACGAGTGTCAAATGGACGTGTTTGACCGATTTTAGGCGGGTCAAAATAGGTTGAGTCAAGATATTGCCTACACCACTGATTGATAATGCACTACAATCACCCATTTAAACTTTATCAATCATTTGCTACTCTAGTTGCTACTAAGTGGCAAACTAGTCATGTCTGCGAGGACATTTAATTTGTGATAAATCAAACCTAAACCGAAATGCGAAGAATTTGTGTCCATAACTTTTAAAATTTCGAATTTTGCATAGCAGTGGCGCAGAGAACAAGTCGATAAAAGAATTAAAGCATTGCGAGAACTGATTCCTGGTTGTGACAAGGTAATTAATTATTACTAGATCTTTTAGCATACTCTGTTGTTTTAAACTTAAGTAGAATTGCTCCCTCTATCTAAATTTGTAATATACTGTTTAAGAGATATTGTCTTAAATGATAATACTTGTATTTGTCTCAAGTGTATTTACTCTTCACAGGTAGACCAAGCGTCCATACTAGATGATGCCATTAAGTACATTCAAGCTCTACAGCAACTTCATCGAGTAACTCTCTCATCTCACTTTATTCTAATTAAATTATTAGGAGTAGCTTGAATTTTCCAATCGTATGCTTTTTCCCGTTCGATCTTGGTAATGGTTAGAGCTAGATATACGATGACTAGCACCATTTGTCATGGTTCTTGTTTCTGATAGCATTATTTGCACTAGGTCGTAAATTATCGTCTCAAAGATTTAAGTTTTATATATATACATATAAATTAAAGTAATAATAATAATAATAATAAAGTATTTGCACATTATAAATGTGGTTTAACCACTTATACATCAGGTTAGTATCAACAATCACCTACAATTATAGATTAATTTGACTTGATGGTATAAAAACCTTTTACAATGTCAATATACAGAACTTATAGCCTGTTTTCTCCAAGGCAAAACGTCAAATTTGAAGTGTTGGCCAAGCTTTTAGGAAGAAAAAAAAATACTTTTGAGCAGAAGCAGTTTTGAAGAAAGATACATTTCAAATTAATTAGTCAAAAGTACTTTGTAAAATAAGTGGATTTTAGAAGTTTTGCCAAATAGGCGATTAAACACACCATCTCACTTGTTAAACTCCATTATCAACCGTATGTAGTGACAGTTATTTGCACTTGGGGAACAACAGATAACATCAATGAGGATGGGATTAATGTCCCAGGAAGCAGACATGAGTCAAGCTGGGATGATGCTAATGCCTCAAATGGAGCCAACAAATGGAATTATGGCTAATCAAACTGTAATTCCTCCATTTGCCCTGCCTACCTCTTCATCATTAAGTGGATTACAAATGGTGCCTCAGTTTCAAGCCCCATTCTGTCCTCAATTTTTGCAATCAACAGCTTATATCATGCCCTTATCACCTTCATTTTTCACTGCACCATCCCCCACCATGACTCAGGTTCGTCAATTTCTCATAAGCATATGATTCTAATCCATGTTATATTCATATATGTACTTCAATATGTATCTTATTTGTTTCACTAGTCTTTATAATACAATCCTATGTAAATTAGAGCATATGATTATATTATATTTCTGAAATTGGGGCGTATCGAATGTCTTTGTTCGCACAACTAATACAACTAAGGCGAAATACAGAAATACAAAAAAATAAAAGGCTCTTGTTGATAGTCGAACTCAAGACCTCGAGCCCTCTAACCAACTGAGAAGCTTGCTGCTCTTTTGCTTCAGTTCAAAACAATTAATCTCTTGTTTAATGAATTTGCTATAAAATTGAAATATAGCTACGAATGGTAAATTTGCTAAAATTATTGCTACGAATGGTAAATAAGATGTGTCGCATAATTTTTTCCTTTTAATACTTTTAACTTTTTTCTTTTTTTTGAATCCCTTAACTGAAACCCTACCTCCACCACGGTTCTGAAGTGACACAATGGAGAAGTTATGGAGTATTCATTTTCTCAAGAATCTTCCACAAGAAGAAGAGAGTTTATTTTCTTCTCAAGAAGAAGAGAGTTTATCTTCCATAATTGATTGATTTAATTTACATAAGAAGAAAATCTCAATATTAACATTGAGAGAAGAATGAATTCGTTCTTTTTTCTCTTTTTTTTTCTTATTAACCTCTTATTGATTGTTGAAATTTCTAGGGACGTACGATAAGAGACTCATCAGCTAGCAATCCGGGGGTTGATCTTCTACGAGAGTACGAGGAAGCCATTGATTATAACAATTCTAACCAAGGGTTGTTCTTTTCTTTTCCAATGCTCCAAATAAATTACGATATTATTATACTTACACTTCCTTTTTCTGCCTCAATGAACATTGTCTTTCTAGTAACTTTTGATTAATAAATTATACTAATACATTTCGAGTGAAAAGTTTTAATTAATGGATATTTTCATGGATCACCCTTTAAGATTTCAATTGATCATCTGGAGAAGTGGAAAATTTTCCAAGAATTCGAATAAAGAAAAATCTAGCGAAAAAATTAACTAAGGGGGACTACAATGAATTTGTTGAATATTTTGTTTTTCTAAGGCAAATAAATTAAAATATGAATATATA